TTGGAGACGCTTGTTCTGCCCAAGTTAACTGTCCCTGAAGCTCCAGCACCTTTGCCAAACTTAACCACCAGCTTCACCCCAACTCCACCCATATCCTCAGTTTCTCCCACTCTGCAAGTTCCTTCCACAACCCCGTCGCCACCCCTGAGCTCTAATCCTGACCTGGACATTGACACGGACATAGAGTCCGTGGCTTCTCAGCAGCTGGAGCAGGCTCAGAGCCTTCAGCATCAATCCCCAGAGCCAAAAGAGCAGGATTCATCTGTGCTGGAGAAGGAATTTGCCAATCACCTCTCCAGATCTAAAAAACCTAAAGGGCTGGAGTTGGCTCCTACTCTTGTCATTACAGGCAGCGATCCAAGTCCGCTGGGGATTCTGAGTCCCTCTCTCCCAACCGCTTCTCTTACTCCAGCACTTTTCTCTCAGGTAACCTAATTCTCTTCCTGTTTGGTGGTTGGTTGTTTTGTTGTTTTTTTTTTTTTTTTTTAGTAACAATAGTGGTTATGTTATATTTTAAAACGGTAAGGGAAGGCAAGTGGAAAATGAATAGTCAGTAGATTGTATCTGGAGTTCTGAAACTCATGATGTCGCTCCCATTTTTCTTACAAAATAGAAACTTTATTCAGAATCGGTATTAGCTTCCACCCCAAAGTGTGCCGAAGTAGTATGTCAGCTGTACACGCCTGTGCAGTGTTAGCAAGTGGAGGCAAAACCCAAACCAGCACCAGCAGGATCCTTTGTAAATCTTGCCAGGGTGGTATTGAATTATTTCAAAAACCCTAAACCCTGCCCTTATCCTTCAGGCTGATTCTGAAAATGCTTTAAAAATAGAGAATCACGGAGGTGTCTGTTTAGCAGCTTGCTTTCCCTTGATTCAGTAGCCATTTACTTAAGACCAGAGTATGGTGACTTAACAGCAGTTAAGAACGGGTGCTTAATTTGGTTGTTATCTTTGTGTGGGAAATGAAAGCTTTTATGCCTCATGGAAAATTTGGAAGAGAACTGAATCCAGCTAGGCTCTTAAATTGTTCTGCATATATTTAATCTCTTTCCTGTAATAAATTGGAATTAGAGTGAAACTGTAGGG